GAGCCCGGGGGGCCGCGTCGGGGGGTTCCGCCGCCGCGGAAAGTTTCCTTTTTCCTCGAAACCGCCGCGCAGGAGGGGCGCGAGTGCCTGGAAACCCGGCGGTAGCGGCGCGAGCTACCGGCGCTGTGAGGGGCGGCGGAGAGCAGGGGGAAATATCAATTTCTTACAGGGATTTCCCGGTGACCGCCTTCAGAATGGTGCGAGTTAATCCCCATGTCTGCTCTAGCGCCTTCGGGGTGCGTTGGGCCAAAACCACAAAGTCCGGAGGTGATTTCTCGTCTCCTCGTTGGGGCTCAGTTGGAGTCTTGCTTGTGTGAGCCGCCGATTTAAGGGGAATAGCGCCGTTTTACTTTCGATGCGAACTGGAAGCCGCGTGGGTTCAGGATCAGGCCCCACCTTGGCACAGGTCTCCAGTAAGAGCGGATGAATTGATTTCAGGGAGAAAAAAAAAAAAAAAAAAGGCCATCCTCGTTCCAGAGAGGAGAGGCAGTGGAGCATAGGCGTGCTGGAGGCGAGTGCAGGTTGCGGGAGACCCAGGGAAGGGAGCCTGGCTTATTGCACTGAAGCTGCTGATTTGTTGTTTGTTAATTATTAATGGGACTTTGGAGTGCCTGTGTGCAGCTTGAAGAACTGCCGCGGGAAGGTGGCTGGGAATTTAAAGCAGGGGATGCTCTTCCTGAAGAGTTGCTGTGAGGTTGGGAATAGCCTCCTTGGGAAACCTCCCGAGAGCTGGAAGGGGCTGTGCCGAAGCTGGGGGAGCTCCAGGGGTTGGTGCTTGTTGAGCCTCGGGCTGGAATGAGCAGGTTTCTTAGGGCAGAGCAGCTGTAGGGATTGATCTGTGTGCGTGTACCCCCTGGATGCGGCATCCGTCCTGCCCCGGTGCTGTCACTGGGCAGTGCCTCCAGTGGGGTCAGGACTCTTCTAACTGCTCGTGGTTCATTTTTCCCATCGAGTGAGCTCAACCTCCCTTCGTGTCACTTGCTTTTTGCTGATCCCAAATAGCTCGATCCCCCTTAGACTAGGGGATGATGTGCTTGAGTCCTGGCAGGGGCAGTGGAGCTGTCCGTCCTTTTGCAGGGATGAAGCAGGAGATGTGCCGATGCCTGTTTGCATTGCTGACTGCCTGGGAAGTTTTTATCATTGGAAATGTTTTCCTGGGTTTGTATTTTGTCCTTTTAATTTTCCACAGAAAGGTGATTATGCCCGTGCTGTTATGTATCTGTGCTCGCTTTGATATGACAGCACTCTCAGAAGCTCAGCTATGCCAGATGCAGTGAGATTTTTATCTTGTAGATTAAGGATGAAAGAGACCTTCTAAGGCTAGTTTCAATATTTCTTAACGCCATTGCACGAAATGCCAAGTATCCCCCTGCCTTAGCACAGTGCATTATCCCAAGAAATTTTAATGTTACCTAAGTAAAGGAGAAAGTGCTGGGGTCAGGTGGCTTAGGAAGAGAAATGGTAACTTTACCATGATCCTCCTGTACCTCTGTAAGGTCTCAGAGTGCTTTAGGGACCCAAACTAGAATATCTGCTGCTTAACTAATCTAGAAATGCAGTCCTGAAGTGGCAAGTGAAGGGATTTAAATCTGGTGGTGGAGTGAGCTCAATGAAAATGAACCTGAAAGTGCCTTGCAGGTAGGGTGCTGGAAGTTCTGCCATTGACTTCAGCTGTGTCAGGAGTTTTCAGTCTTGGAGCCTATTCTTGTTTCTAAGGATGCTGGGGGGCGGAGTGGGACGGGTAAGAGAGAATGTTAGGAAAATACTAGTCTTTTGGGGAAGATTTTTGGCCTCTGACATAGGCACGGGTTTTATGTGAGTTTGTTGCTACATTAGGGATGCCCTCCTTGGCCCTGCTGCTGTATCTCGTTAGGGGGGCACTCTGTTAAGGAATTTGTGCCTAGGTTATGAGCCGTGGGAGTTGGTCTGTTAGTCACAGCTGGGTGTGAAGTGCAAGGGGGTTTTCTGGTCCTCGTATCTCCTTGGATATTGGGTCCAAAAGGTGCATGCTGCTTATCTCTTCCACCTTTTTGCAGAGGCTTTTGCTTTTTTGCATTTAGTTTTATTATTTATTTA